CACCTCACGGCCCCTCCACATCTACTCTTCCTTCTCTTTGCTTTCTATTCAGCAAAGAGCAGGCTTCTCATAGATGTCAATCAAACATGCAGATCAAGTTGCAGTAAGACTAGGCACCTCCCCTAGTATAAAGGCTGAACAAAGCAATTCAATGAGGAAAGGGTTTCTAAAAGCTGTCAAAAGAGTCAGACAGCCTCTGCTCACACTGTCAGGAGTCCCACAAGAAGACACAGTTACATAACTGTAACACAGGGCCTAGGTCAGTCTCATGTAGGCTCCCTGGTTGTTGGTTTAGTCTCTATGAACCCCTATGAGACCAGGTTAGTTGATTCTGTGAATTTTCTTGTGTTCTTTATCCTTTTGCCTATTACAATCCTTTCTTCCTCTCTTTTGCAGGATTCCCTGAGCTCTTTCTAATGTTTGACTTGTGGATCTCTGCAACTGTTTCTATTAGTGACTGGGTGGAGCCTACCTAATGACTATTGCGCAGCAATATATCTAAGTATAGCAGGATAGCATTAGTTATCATTATATTGACTTTCTTTTCAGTCCTGTATATTTCTTTCCTAGGTCTCTGGATATTCAGCCTCTGTATCTAGGCACTCAAAGTAGTCTCAGGGGTGGGATCCCTCTCATGGCATGGGTTGACCGTCATTGTTGACTTCTCTCACAATTTATTTCTGTGTCACCACTGCCCTACCACATCTTGTAGGCAAGACAATTGTATGTTGAACATTGGTGCCCAATCCTTCCATTGGATATCTTGCCTCAATATCCATCTCTCAGTTTTTATTGTTCATGTTACATTTGGTGCCCAACAAAGAGAAATTCTTTTATGCAATCTTGCAACTCCATTTGTGAATTCATTTATTCTACTCTATGTTTTTCTTAATCAGTCACTCACTAGTGGATATTTAGATTATCACTAGTTTTTTTCACTTATATTTATTTGCTTATTTATATAATTTGAACTCTAACAAATCAAAAGAAAGTCCTGCAAAGAAAACTGTTATGGGTTTCCATGTTAGTTTTCCTGGAATCGGCTGGAGTTTCTTAATAAAAGAGCTGTACCAAGGATGTACCTTACCTAGTTTGTAAGATATTGACAATAATATTGTAAATTGATATTTTTTGTCTGTGTTAGCAAAGTGTAAATTTCTTGTTCACTCAAATCACAACCAGCAATTTACATAAAAAAAACCTGTATTCTTGAGCTGTTCCTGCCCCTCATCAGCTGCAGCAATCAGAAGAGTGGGCCCTATACCTTGACTGAGCAACACAGTAGAGCTGGCCTTGAAGGTGTAGGTATGGGAAAACCCACCTGGAAGACATGAAAGCCAGAGATCTAGCCCTGCAATTTGTTCATTCCATCGTGAATGAAAGGAGTGAACTAGCCAGGGCAATGTTGGAGAGCTTACCTTGGTAATGAGGATGCAGAGAGCTGGTAGGCTGATCAACTCTGCAAATCCCCCGGCCCAGAACCAAGTTATGTGTTGGTCCACCCCATTATTTATCCTAACTGTGATCTGTTGGAGTATAGGGATGGGGACAGGGGTTGTATCTGTCATATGGACCCAGGACTGAAGGATTTCCAAGACACAGGGTAGAAAAGGGATGTCCAGGAAGAGTCCCAGTGAGGGTCCAGCATCAACGGTGAAGCACATAATAGGGGCCTTGAACCAGACCAATGATTCTTTGCAATAAATGCCAACATGTAAAAGTGTATGGATGAAGGGATTTCTTACATGACTCACAGCGTCACACTGCAGCTTCTATGGTGAGATATTTTCCCCTTCTTCCTGTTTTTCTCTTAAATTTTATTTTGTTTTATTTTTTTATTTTTGCAGAGGACAAGTAGGCTCAGGAGGCATTATGTGAACGACACAAGGAATAAATAAATAATGTAAAAAACCTGTATTCTCCCTGACTAAGAAATTGACATTAAATTCTATATCCCTTTTCTTTAGTGTATATATTTCCAATTTCTATTATGATTGAGGGTTTTCATATGCTTAATAAATTATGTGTGCATTTTATGTAAATTGCTTGCCTATAAGTTTCCTTCCCCCAATTTTGTTATGTCTGTGGGTGTTCTTGCATGGATATTAACTTTGTTTAAATTGTTTCATTCATTTAATTGCCTAAGTTTGTATTGAGGCCATGATATTTCTTTCTTTATGAAAGACTTGAGTGTGCTATTAGTATAAATCATCAGCCTTATCTTAACAGTATAATCTCCTATTTTCCTTCAGTAAAGGAAAACATCCACTTCTCTCAGCTTAACCTAATATTAAACTATAATAAAATTCCATCCTTTTTATTCAATATGACATCATTTCTAAATAGTCTTGAGGTATTTATAATTTGTGTAAATAGCCAGTGTTTTTCAATTTTCAATTCATTAATTTTAGTGTGTGAAATAATAGGTTTCATTATTATATTTTCAAATATATTCTACTGTACTTTTTATAGGTACTCCTCATTGTAATCTCTTATTCCTGTCTTCTGCTCTGCTCAAACCGTCCTTTCATGCTATATTTTCCTAATTTTTGATGTTGTATGATACTTGATTTTTTTTGCTATTCTAAATGTTTTATAATTCTTTTTCTGTGTACTATAGCTTCACTGAGGTATGTTGAGAAAGGATTTATATTTTTCCGTTTGACACTCAATGTGATTTAGTTAGAATGCACTTTTATTATAAAAATATATATTAACACATTGTCTCTTTGAATCCTGCTCCTCTCACTTCTAGGGCTGATTTTGAAACATGTGGCGCTTTCTTGCAACACACTCACAGTTTAGGTGCTAGTTCACTCTCTGTCTCCTGTCCCCAAGGGCTCTTCAGCAGGAAGGTCTTGTGTAGAGCACCCAGATTCTGCTCTCTGTCTCAGCTCTTTCTGAAAGCATGCTTGAACCATTACTCTTCTGCCAAATAGATCTGTCTCAAGTCTCAGGAAGGCTGCACCCTCCTGTCTCAAGGGGTCTCAGTCCACTTGAAATGTTTAACATGCTGCTGAGCATTTGGAAGTCATGCTTTTACTATTCCTACTTTAAGAAATCTCAGATCATGTTGTTGTCAGACCTTCCCACTAGGTTCCTTGTTCAATGAGAGCAGTGGTGGTTTTTGCACTTTATTATTTTTGCTTTAATAGACATGCAGGAAATGAAAATGTAGAGATAAAGAACAGTCAGGAATTATCAAAACTTCGGGCTTCTGTGAGTAATTTCCCATCAGTTTCGTGTTTTTCATAATAGTTGAGGTTTTAATTTTGTGTGAAAATTTAATTGACTAAAGGCTAGGGATAGTTACCTTCACGGTGGAAATAGGACACAGCCCAATGACTCAAGATAGTTTCCTTATCTTATGTATCTATTAACCTTCCATAACTGCAGTTTCTACATATCTGACTAAAAACTAGAGAATATGTCAGTAACCATATGGTCTTTTATGAGTAAATTTCTACTAGAATATTTCTTTTACAGTAATTGAGAAAGTTATAAAACTATGTCATCTGTAACAATCAGAGGTAAAATTTTTTTGCACAATTTGACCCAAAAGAACAATCCTCAGAGCATTTATTAGCAAATATTTTCTGAGCCCCCATAGGTACTACTCACTACTTAGAATACTACAAGGAGCAATAATCAAATATCCTACAGTCACTGAGAATAGACAGAGTCTACATGAAAAATAATATTTCAATACTCATGTTGCTACTCAACATGTATTTAAAATTATTTTAATTTTTGGAATGAAAAAATAGTTATTTTGAAATGTTTACTAAATTAATGTGACATACAGTTACTGGAGGAGTGGAAAGTTTTCCATGAAGATTGACTCCTGAACTAAGTTTTCTTCTTCTTCTTCTTCTTCTTCTTCTTCTTCTTCTTCTTCTTCTTTTTAAGATTTGTGGGCATTGATCTGCTCAAAAGATGTGTGGGGTTGGACATTTCATAAAGAACTATTACTGTGTACAAACGTTCTGTGGCAGGAAGTAAATTGACAATTATGAGAGTTTAAAGGATGGCCTAAAGATTTAGTTAAAGGAAATAAAAAGAGAAAATATTTGGAACTAAGGATCTGAAGGAATTTTGTGTGTTAAGAGTAAAGTTTTAGGCTAGAATCTTTTGGATTTAGACAGCGTTTGTCATCTGCAAGATTCACATTCAAGAACTGCATGATGAATTAAGAAAAATAAAGCACAAAATGTCCAAAATATTTTAAGTGAGCTTATGATTTTATGCTGGGCCTCATTTGGCTATCCTCAGCATGTTTGGGGTGCTGTCTTAGTTATGCTTTCTACTGCTGCGAAGAGAAACCATGACCACAGCGACTCTTATAAGGAAACATTTAATTGGGTTTGGCTTACAGTTCAAAGGTTTAATCTGTTGTCATGGTAGGAAACATGGTGGCATGCAGGCAGACATGGTGCTTGCGAGGTAGCAGAGAGTTCTACATCCAGATCTGCAGGTGACACACACTTCCTCCCACAAATCCATACGTACTTCAACCAGGTCACACCTCCTGACAGTTCCACTCCCTATGGGCTTATGGTGGTTGTTTTCATTCACATTACTGCAGGGCCTAAGAAAGGACCATCATCGTATTAAATGTCCAGCCATTATCCAAACTGTTCAGATCATTTTTCAGTGTGGAAGTGATGCTTTGGAACTTTCTAAATGCTAAATCAGATGTGGTTTCACCTTTTTATTTTTAAATATTGGCCATATTTTTGCATCCGATTCTACCTTTGGTGGTGATAGAAGAATCAAGAAGAAAACTTCATATTACTTTTCAGGGTTATATGATTTAGTACTTTGTGTGATGGTCACTATCTCTAAATTTATTGACTAAAATCTTGAGGTGGCTTTGGCATTACCAGTTCAAGATCAGTCAGTGCTTCTGTTTAACATCAAAACTGACCAGAAAAGAGTAGCTTTATGTGTATCTTGCTTCCAGTTGCTCTTCAACACCATTACCTTGTCCTTTCCACCAGGTGGTTGACCAGATTGATACCCTGACTTCTGACCTACAGCTGGAGGATGAGATGACCGACAGCTCCAAAACGGACACTCTGAACAGTAGCTCCAGCGGCACAACAGCCTCCAGCATAGAGAAGATCAAAGTGCAAGCCAATGCCCCCCTCATTAAACCTCCAGCCCATCCATCTGCTATCCTCACGGTTCTGAGAAAGCCAAACCCCCCACCGCCTCCTCCACGGTTGACACCTGTGAAGTGTGAAGAGCCTCCAAGAGTGGTACCAACTGTCAATCCGGTCAAGACCAACGGCACCCTTCTCCGGAATGGAGGCCTACCAGGTAGACCCAACAAAATTCCCAATGGAGACATCTGCTGCCTACCGAATAGTAACTTGGACAAGGCTCCAGGGCAGTCTCTGATGCACAGACCTGAAAAAGACAGAAGTCCCCAAGCAGGGCCTCGGGAACGAGTTCGGTTCAATGAAAAAGTACAGTACCATGGGTATTGTCCTGACTGTGAGAGCCGCTATCACATAAAGAACAGGGAGGTCCATTTGCACAGTGAACCAGTCCATCCACCTGGAAAGCTCCCTCACCAAGGTCCTCCCTTCCCTCCTCCACCTCATCTCCCCACTTTCCCATTAGAAAATGGGGGACTGGGAATAAGCCACAGTAACAGCTTTCCCCCTCCCACACCTGCAGCTGTGCCTCCTCCCACTGCACCAAAACCACAGAAGACCATCTTGAGAAAATCCACCACAACCACAGTGTGATGTCTGCCATTTAAGAAAACTTTTTTGTTTGTTTTTAATTTTCTATATGATAAATGATAAGTAATGAGCACTTTCTACTCAAGCAATAAAAAAGCCCAAATATATTAATCTGCATTCAACAAAGTGGCATAAAAATCACCTGGTAAGTATGCAGTGATGCTTCTCTCCTGGATGTACATTGTTTTACATGTCCGATCATCAGAAACTGCCGAATAATGAGAAAATATGAATGCATTTTATCTTTTGCAATTGACCTATGACAAACTGTGACCTTCAGATTACAAGTATTTTGATTTATTATAAGAGATGCGAGATCAAATATTTTGATTTATTGATAAAGTCAGGGCAATTCATTTCATTCATGTCTAACTCATCTATGCATTGATGAAGTCATAATCCTCCCTTTGATCTAATGTTTTTTTAATAAGAATTTTAATACCGAAGGACTATTTTATTATTTTTCTAATGATGTTTGTCAATAATTTTGCATCATGAAATGCTGAGGACAATGCCAAAAAGTTTATTTTCTATACTATACAATTATGAATCATGTGTTCAACTACATGTGTAATAAAATATTTTGAGCTTTGGAAATATGTCAATAAATAATGGTAAATAATGAGAAAGCCTAATTTTCCTAAGGATTAATATGAAGTATGTATTCATTTATATAATCATATTATCATTCACTGAAAGTTGGAGGCAAGTCCCAAGAGTTCCAACAAGATGACGTTGATTGGATATTAGAATTTCTATATTAAATCTCATAACCCATTTGGTAAGTACATCCTTCCAACAGTTTCATATATACACCTCCATTATGTTACTTCTAGAATTATATGTTGACAGCCTTGGATGTTGTCAAGCCATTTTTCAGAACCCACTGTAGAGAAGAATATTGAAAGGTTGGAATTTTTGCCTTCTGCCCACCTGCACAAGCTCAAGGTGCCTGAATAGATTCACATTAATAGGAGGGATGGTGGCGGTGTCTCAGGTCACAGGGTATGTTAAGCCATGGCCTTTCCCTTCTCTCTTCTGAGTTAAGGACATCAGGGGCTTTTTGATGTCCCATATAAGAATCTTTTCCTTCTGCCATCAAATACAAGTCTTTCTCCTCAGTAGTATTTGTCAACTTAAAAAATGTACCAACTCATGGGTCAGCCAGTTCGCATCTGAACTGATATGGAGAGATGTGATATTTAACATTGGAGTTAAAACTTATTTATCTCCACCAGAATCATTGTGAGGAAATGTGCCAAGAGGGAAAAAAGGTATTTTAAGGGGAACAGTGGAGAGCAGTGTCTTGATGGGAATTGTTTTATTGTGTGATCTGAAAAGTGTTGTGACCTTTTCAAATATTTGCCTTTTCATTTTAAAACTTTAACTTTTGCTGCTACAGCATGGTAGTTTTATGATTTGGAATACCCTTTCAAATAGTTTTCTATTGAAATATGACTATGTATTTTGGGAAGAATATAGAAAGAAAATAGCATTTATGATTTAAATGAATGATTGAATGAACAAAATAAATAAGGAGCAGTGAATGCCCTGTTAAAAATTTACTCAGTGTGTAAATTTTATCCTTTTGTGTTATCCATGAGGGTGATGTAATCTTAATAATCCAATATTTCAGAAAGCGATAAAAAAATAATAAAGAAAGACAATGATCTAGTATTTATTAGCTGTATGATCAGTGTATTTAAGAGATATGACCCAGGTAAATAAATAATTGAATTGTTGAATACCAAATAATGTGTTCTTAGATTTTTACTCCATGAATTATCTTAAAATAAAAGTTTTTGTAGTTAAATCAACTTTTTACATTTAATATATTAGTGCCTTTTACACTTCAAATGAGTGTTAGATCCTGAACTTTATTTTCTTCCCGTAATTCATTTTTGTCTTTTTCAACCAGTTACTAAGACCTAGCAATCACCATATGGATTCAGGTTTTGACTCATGTCGATGTCAATGTCTGGGAACCATACTCATCTCAACGTTTCACAGATAATTCACAGAACAGAAAACTTTCTTCTAGTACAGTAAATTGAATAAGCCGAATCATTGAAATTGTTTGAATAAGAACGTTGACTTATATCCATAGAAAAAAATCTTACAGATATAGATGCATCTCTTTTCTTCAAAACATAGACAGTTTCTTCATGAAAAACCATCTTTTTCTATGTAATTGGTGACTGTATCTGTTCCTAAATAACAATATTTGTAGCTAACTATCTACCTAGAATGCTGAGTCAAATTTCAACTAAAAACTTCATGGCCATTGGCTTACAAATATATATATGAATATATATGTGGTTTTTGCAGAATTTATTATTTTGCCACACTTACTGGAACATGTACATAGAAACCTATAAACAACGTAACAAAATTAACATAGAACATCTTAATATTTTCCTGGAGACATATAATTAAAATGTCACTAATTTTTGTAATCAGCCAACATTGCTTGCACAGTTGAAAAGTTGAAGTGCATATTCTGCTTACTATGATATAATAATCATTCCTCTTTCTAAAGAAAAATAAACACGGCTGAAAACACTTTCTTTATTTTCTTAAAAGCAGCTACTTGCCAGGCTATGCATTTGTGAACTTTTATTTACATAGAGTTTGCCATAGAGTTCATGGCCGTGCTCCATTGAAGGTGTATTTCCTGCTGAGTGTGACATGGCAGACGCTGCCTGTGAGAACAGCCCTTCATAGTGCGGTTCCAGAATATGTTTCCATAGACAGGATAGTTGTTAATTAAAGAGTGTGAATTGCTCTGCTTTTTTCAGGGTAGACAAGTATTTTCAAATTTGAAATGCTGTTTAAAATTCTTTTTACCTCCCAATATTTGCAACAATTTTATTAAGGTGTCAGTCTATGATTTTTAGATTTTTTTTTTTTTGAAACAAGATTTCTCTGTGTAGCTCTGGCTGCCCTGGAACTCACTCTGTAGACCACACTGACCTCGAACTCATAGAGATGACTCCGCTTACCTCTGCTTCCCAAATGCTGGGATTAAAGGCATGTGCCACCATGTCCAGTTAGACCATTCTTAAACTAAGTAAAATATTTTCAGGAAAATGCAGAAATATACAAGACTATAAAACTTCCCCCCAATTGTTATTATTTCTATGTTTCCTCATTAATTTACTAATCCTGGGAAGAAATGCATTTGTTCACAAAGATGGCTTAATTGACCTAAGAAAAGCACTTAGATTTGAAGCCAAACTGCGCTGCTATTGTTCAAAAAGTAGGGCAAGAAGACAGTTTTTATGACTTTCTTTGGACAGATTAGTATTTGCTTTCAGCATGATTAAGGCATCACCTATGGGGAGTATTCTGCTATTCAGAACCTTTTAACTTTAGAGTTCAGTTATGACTCTCTTTTTGGTGTTCTGCGAACAAATTCTGAATCATTACATTCTTAGTTGTGTGTAATCAAGTCAGGAACCATTTCTTACCTACATGTATTTATGGACTATATATGGCTGAGACCCATAATGATCCTAAAACTTTTTCTTTTTTTCTCTTTGTCTCCTCATTCTTTCTATGTAACGTATTTTCCTGCAATGTACTGTTAAAACTGGAGCAAAAGATTGTGCTGCAATTTACTTCACTGAAATACTGGTGGATTTTAAGTGAGGAAATGATTTATGAGCAGCAGAGTTTTTAAAAAGTCGTATCACATAATTAGGTAAAGTGCTTGGACTATGACAATTACCACGCATTATCATAAAATCACACGGCATTTTCGGGGTCAATGTGTAGCTGTGGCACTGCAATTAAGTTTTCAGAGTAAACATTTCAGAGTTTTAGAGGCATCGACTTTGATGATTCCGATATAATGACAGTCAATGATGCAACTGCCAAGGCATGCGGCCGCCTTGAATACACATTGCAGTTAGCATCACCTTCATGACACAGTGATTATGTGGGTGGTGTCCCATTTGGAGCACTTAAATTCATCTTCCCTGGCTCTTATGAAAGGAGTATTTTTTTTTCTGGGTGTTTTTATGTTGGCATGATGCCTTATGTCTTTTCTTCCCCAAACATCAACACGGAATTGTGTTCTTTGCTTTCCTGAGCGCTGCACAACTTTTCTTCATTCCAAATAGTTATTTTGATGCTTGGAAGGGGTTACCTAATGCTGTTTTGACATTCGTAAGGTGTCTGATCTTTACAGGATATAAAGGGGGATTTCAGACAATTTCGCCACCATCTAAACAGAATGAGTCCCTGAATAATGCAAGCCTCATTTGTTCATGTCTAGTAACAGCAGTGTCACCTGCCAGCTTTTTCTCTCAATGCAAACACTATTATTATGAGTCTTTCTCCTAAGGAGGTCTGATCCCATTGCATTCTCGCTGTCGACCCTAGGTTGTCACTTTATTCGCTAGCATTTCCTTTGTGAATTTCACCTATTTAGCATTGACCCCTGACAACTAGAATAGCGCTGGTTTGCAATGAGACCTTTAAGGAGCCAGTGTGATACAGCTCTCTCTAATGAGGGTAGCCATTCTTTTGTTATTAGACAATGGATGCAATTTCCTTCAAACTTAAAATATAACTGTCAGTTCTCATAACATCGAAGGGGGTTTTGGACCAGCAAGATAAAAATGATGTGTGTATAGTGGGGGTTAGGGTTCATTGCAGCAAGACATGTGATAGCAAATGCTTCCAGGAGGCTTACTTTCTACTGAATATTCTTCAAAATGCTTTGTATATATTACTCATCATTTATCTCATCATTTTTTTCTCCATAACATCTTGAAAGCTTAGATATTGCTATTATCTAAATTGTACAAATGAGCCAGATGTGAAATGGGAACCTGATGACTATGATCTTAGTCTTTCATGGCAAAATGCTAAAATTGAAAGGCAGGCACATGACTCCCACAACTCACTTTCATTACGACCTCCAGAAGTAAAGCACTGGCCAAGCATTGCTTACAGATCATTTGTTGAAACCAAATTAATTATTTGCTAGAATTTGCATGGAAAGTTGTTTCTTGAGATAGTGGTAAAACAATGCATTTCTGCATTAGTCAAGAATATCTAAGTTGCGATGCTACCAGACTGAATAACTCTAGCGTCTGTGCCTTGCTAGGCCCACAGCAGCCATTTAAAAAATAGACT